TATAACTAGTTATAGGAATTTTTCATTTTCCAAACACGGTCAGCACATTGTGGCCACATTCATAGTTAATGTAATTGTGAGTTGGCTTCTACATTTTTATTATTAGAGCTTTCATTATTTTTAATATATTTTTTTAAATGTAGATGAGGTTATTATGCTTGTATTTTCTACTAGTATGTTTTGGATGGAGTCTGGTGTTTGTGTGTTTAAATGAGTCCTAATGGAGATATGGCCAGGTAGGTGAAATGTAAGTCATCTGGATAGGCATGTAGTAGTGTAACCGATATAATTATTTATGAGTTTGATTTGATCAGGAACACAGTTCCTTAAGAGGCATTTGAACTTGTAAATCATGTTTGTTCTTTGTTTTGATTTTGCAGGTGTGTTGTTATTTTTTATGATAAGGTTAGGTGTTTTAAATTTTTTTGTAATAGATAATTTAATTTTCTTGTTTGGGTCAACTGGGGTAGTGTATTTCTTTATGATATTCGTATATAAAAATTCATCTTGCTTATAGTTGACGTTTATTTGGCTTTTGTAGAAGATGTTAATGTTATTGTCTTTGTATGTTCAGCATCGTTATTTCTTATGAAATAAAGTTAGAAAGAAATAGTCTGATCTGGTGGTCGATGAGGGAGTTAGGAAACTAACTCCTTATAAACAATTTCACTGACTAGTGAGAAGTTTTTTCTTGAAACTTCTAATAAAAATGTTACTGATTCTTAAATTGATTTATTTCAGTGCTACAAAATTATTACATAATTTTTTATGACAAATATTAATAATTTTGGTCTTTTTCTCTTTCATTATCAATTAATTTCAATTTCTTTAGCATGTATTAAACTTACAAGCTTGAACATGACCTGGAAAAACCCATCATAAAAACATTAAAAAAATGACATAAAATATAAACTGTATACAAACAGAAAAGAAAATGAACAATGATGACAAATTGGGTTGAAACAGTAATTTGAAGCAAGGTAGACATAAACATTATTATATTTTTGATAATTGATCTGAAACAAAAGATTCTGGTAGACATTTATAATAAAAAAAATAATAATTTTTATGATTTTTTAACCTGATTTCACTGAAAATGAAAATGCATAAAAACTTAAAATAAAACAATATTTGTGGTATGAGAAAAATATATTTTTGATAAATTTTCCTAAATATGGTAAGTGACACAGAAAATTATGTTAATTTCTAATATTTTGAATAGAAATCAGCAGTAATATAACCTAATATGATTATTTCTCATTTCTATCTAGCACATTAGAAATATAGGATGTTAAATGATTTTTCATTTTAATGAAAATGTTTTTTCTTTACCATTGAGAAAAAATAATTTCAGAGTGTAATACATAAAAATAAAATAAGTCATCCAAAAATCAAGTTAAAATAATGTATATATGTGGCTTAACAAGGACAATCCAAGTTTCACAGCAATGTAAGCAAAATTGGTCAAACTGTTGATGTGTGAAATTTTTTTTTATATCTGAGCAATTGCACATATGTACACACAGCATATCAGTTATTTGAGAACATATCTTTAGTGGGCTATAGTGGGAAGATGACCTAATGTAATGTTTTATAGCATGTGCCAAATTATAACTTTCAAATATATCAAGAACATTAATATGGTAGCTTCCAAATTGACACAGAAAAATGAAACGGTACACCAAGCACAGCAGCTTGAAAATGACAAGCTTCTTAAAAATAGCTAGGTGAGTGAAAACAGGTGGCTCTGTGCAAATTCCATGGTGATTCACATGATGGTTTTGATTTTTGTGAGCAATTATGGCTACTACTGGACTACTATGTATGTGGAATTGTTGAGAGGAAAACCAACCAGTGGTCCCACAATACCAAAGACTCATTGAAGGCATGATGGCCAACAACAATGAGAACCACCTATTCTGGGTATGCAGTCACTCATAGCCAAGGATAGTTTTACTGATAGCCTTTTTGAAGATATGTATAAATTTTTGGAAAAATATTTTTCATAATTTGTTCACTACCAACCCCAACACACACACACATTTCCATAAAGTGGTAATATCTCATACAGGCATTTTAAAATTGTTTTTAGTTTTTAACATTCTTACATTTATTGTCTATAGAACAAACTTGAAACAAAACAGATTTACAATAATGCAAATAATCTAAACATTAAACTGGAATCCATCAGGCTGACAATCAACTGTCAGTATTTAGTAAAAGACAATCAATAACCTTAACTCATGGGTCATTTTAATTTAAAAATCTATGATTTTAAAGCCAATGAATTTTAGTTCTGATTAGTTAAATGCTGACTTGAACACCTATTTTTAAAGGATAGAATTATCATTCATCAAATACCATTCAGTTTTAGTTGAAATATTAAATTCAATTAACTAATAATAGAATAAGCGCCATTTATTAAGGCTTAAATGCATGATTTAATATCAGCAATTTCACTGTCCATACAGTTTGAATTTGTTAGTTAAATATGAGTATTAATAATTATGTCAAGTAATAAGATAATTTATCAAACAAATCACTAAAGTCTGTTAGAATAAATACCTATTTAATGTCAAGAGTAAAATAAAAAATTCTATTTAATGATATTGAAACAACAGCTTTTAATAGACGATTTACAAATGATAGGAAAATTAGAGAGAGAATGATAATGACATCTCCAAATCACAGAATGTATCTTTATAAAGAAAATTGGTTGAAAATCTAAATTAAAAACATTTGTTAAACCTTAAAACAATGAAAGTAACTCTCCAAAATCATGATATTATTAAATCAATATTGGATTATACAGTGCAATTTATTTTGCTAATAATTTACATAATTATAAAGACATTAGAATTGAAAATTGCTTATTTCCTGGAGCACATGTGTGAATAATTAGAAAATAAAGAAAACAAAGAAATAGTGGCAAGAATTACAAAGCATAAATAACCTGAAGAGTAAAGTAAGCAGAGACTGCGCACTTGACTTTTCTTTGTCATAAACTGGAAATTCTTTACAACATATCTCATAGACAGATTAAGATTTTATAGACAAACTAAAATTTTAGCCAATTAAAAGATTAGAGAAAGAAAACAAAAAGCTAAAGAGAAAAGAAAAACTGATAGTAATAATTTGGAGTTTGTTTTAAATTATTATCATGCTACTGGTGAAAGTAATAAGAATATTGGCCTTATAATAATATATACATGGTAATAATATTAGTCACCATAATATTACATCATAATATTAGCACTGGATTTAAAATCATTTCAGTTTTAAGGTTAAGGATAGATGAGTAGATACAAGGACAAGAGTCTGAGCTAGGTTTTAGATTGAGTAATAACAGTTCTTTTGAAGCTTTTAAAGTGATATTGAACACCAATTTACATTTGTTTTCATAATGTATACTTTTAAAATAATAAGAGACCAGTTGCAAGATTTTCTTTTCATTAAATGCAAGTGATGAAATAATTAATCAACTGGCATATCTCAGTTGCAAATATTTGTTTTAAAGTTTCTAAAAGATATTTTCACATAAAAACACTTGTACTTAATTCTACAATTCAGATTAGTTTAAAGTCAATACAAAAAAAAAAATAAGTCTCTCAGTATTATGCAATATGACAATATGGTTACAACTATTATTTGATTCCAGATACGACATATTTCTACACATTCAAGATGAAGTTCTAAAAGCTGTACAAACAGATAATCTTTTTTGCTATCATAAACTTGAATGCTTTGTTTTTAAGAAAATTCTTAATTTTTCTGATTATTAGTTTCTTTTTTATGGAAAGTTAAAATTATATTGTCAGCATCCAACTCATTACTATAAGTTCATTTTTAGTTCCCTACGCAGAAAAATATTTATTTAGTGTCTTAAAAAGTTATTCTACAAGAGATTTTATTTATAAAATCACTCTCAGACAAGTTAGATTTTAAGAGAAAAAAAAATGTATTATAGATGCAGATTGATTTTATTTCTCTCTCTAGGTCTTCCCAATCACTTAAACATTTAAAAAAAAACAAAAAAACACTCTTTTGATTTTTCAACCAGCTGAAAGTGGTTCTCTCTGTATATATAAGAGATTGGTTATCTTGTAAAGAACTGGTTTATTCAAGATTAAATGGTTGACCAGAAAGTGTCCTTTCTGTCTACTATTAACACTCTTTTTACATTTCAATTTACGATTTGTAATTTTTGTCTATTTTTCAGTATCCTTTATTCAATTTTCTTTATTTCTTAGTATTTACATTCCTATATAAGTAACAAATTACAACCAATCATAATGTTCTAAGGATGTTGTGAATAAATATTAAACTCAACTACACTTGTTTAACCAAATATTAATTCCATTTTTGAAGTTACCTTCATCCTTTACAGACTGTTAAATATATATGCTACAATGTTTACAAGTTTTTCAAATTAATACTAACCTGGATTAGATAGTGTAAACCCACATTTAAAAATATTTGCATACTGCAGAAAAAAATGCCTTCATTTCTTTGTTTACAAATAAAAATACAGCTTTGTCTCATTAATATAATACCAAAAAATTATAGTCAACATAATTGTGAATTGCTTTCAAAATAAATAAGTTCATAAAAATGTTGAAAAATAGAAGAAAAAAATCTACAACACTGATGAAAAATATGAATAGATCAAAATTAAAACTATATTAGAAAAAAATTAAATTAAATTTATACAAATTTTATCAACTGTAGGAGGCTTATTATATAAAAGCTAGTTTTCATATTTTGATATGAATATCTAAGATGAAAAGAAATGAAAGCCTTCAAAATAGTGATATTTGGAATGATTACTTTGTTCTTTTTTGTTCTTTTAAACAAAGAATTTCCAGAGAAAGACAAAAATATTTTCTTGGTATGATTAAATAATGCTGTATTAATTGAAAAGATGGTGGTGGCAACAATCAGGTTTTGCACGTTTTAAAAAATATGTGTGGTTAAAAGAGGAGGATGACATAATAATTAAATTATTCATAGATATCGTAAGGGTCCTCATATTCACCATAAAGTGGCTGGCCGTGTCCCATCAGCTGAGCAGCACTAAGATGCTCAACTTCTTCCTCATCCTCTTCCAGCTCCCCATCATCAATATATTGAATTGGACCACTTTCATATTGCACAGGGCCAGACTCAATGACAACTTCTGAATTAGACAGTGGCTCAAGCCTCTGTTTCTTTTCATGAGGTTCTGCTTCAGATAATGGTTTGGGCTGGCTTACAATGCTTGGCCGTTTTAGCCGTAACATTCCTAAGCTCTCATTTTTCTGTGTGGGTGCAGGGGTGACTGGAGTTGAAGGCTGTTTATCCTGTGGCTGGCACAAGTCTTTGAGTACTTCATAATTAATTTTACTGGAGATTTTCTTTTCTTGCAACATTGTTCGAATGGCTTCTCCAGCTGTACTGGCTTGAACATGTGATTTACGCTTGTAAGTTTTTTTCTTTTTTTTTTCAGGCTTTGAAGCTGCCTCTTCTTTCTCCTTTGCTTCCCGCTCCTCTTTTTCTTTTTGTTCCTGAAGATAGTCTGCATTTGCAGCCATCCAAATCTTAGTTTTTATGCGTACCTCATTCTCACTCAAAATGAACCTTTCCAATTCACTGTCATCAATGCCAGTTAAATCCAATTCTCCATCACCTTCTGATGTCCGCTCAATATCTTCAGTAAGGCATTCTGTAATGCAATCCCGGATTCCTAAACTTGCAGAGGTCGGAGCTGGTCCCTTTAAGTTTACCTCTGGAAGAACCAATCTGCATAACTGCTTTTCAACTCTGGCCTCTTGAAATGAAGGGCTGCTGCTATCTTCATAGTCATCTTGATTGTCTGCAATAGATGCAGCATCTTCAGAATTTAATTGCTGTTCTTTTTCCAAATCAGTATTATCTGGCACCTCTGAGGAAAGGTCATGAATACTAGCACTTTCTGATGTAACACTTTCTGATGTGACATTCTCATCAGTGCATGCAGACATTTTTGCATATGCAGCATAGATACCTCTGGGTTTTCTTGCTTCAAGTGCCTTTTCTATCTCACGTTGTATGCTAGACACTTCAAAAGTGAGTTCACTGAGTTTTGAGTTCTCATCAAGTTTACATCCCAGTTTAACCTTACGTTTCTTATTGCCAGCACTGAACGATGGGGGATCCATTTCTTGCTCAAGATCAATCTTAGAAAACTCATCGATCGTAAGTTGACTGGAAGGCGTCTCCTCAAACTCGGTCAATCTCTTCCGTATTGTCGATTCGCATACTTTAACAACACGGATTAAGTTTTTGACAGTCCGATTAAAACCGTGCACTCTACAAGCCACTAAGAGTGCCGCACCACAAAGGCCGGAGGGACGACGCCCTGTGTGCATCCAATCTCTTTTCATACGCTGAACAAGTCTCATCGCTGTCATCGAAACGTCGTGTTCTTTATCTCCCAGTTGGAGTTTGTGGGCAAAGCGAGCGATATATAAACAGGGATCTATGGCTGGGGCGATGATACAGAGTTCGCGAGCAAGCTGGCTGTAGACTTTACCTAAAACATAGACGTTTGTCTGAAGGATGTCGCTGAAGTCAAGAAGCATATGCGGAGTGCCTTCAGTTCGACACACCAAATATAAACAAGCAGCGATAACATGAGAGGATTTTCTACCACGTGTGAGACGTTTAACAACGGCCATCTTGTAGAAGTTGACTGCAGTGTCCATACAATGTTGGTTGAGATGGAGTTGGGCGCCAAGTTGCTGAATCTTTCGGCGTCCATTTTCAAGTGTAATAGCCCTAGATTCCTTACCAACTCCAATATGAAAATTTCCTCCCATGGAATGACCACGAGTTTCATCAGCCGACACGAATTGGCCGATAATAGACGAGCCTCCACCCGCATGTTCGGCAAACTGGATTTCAGAAACGATAATCTGATCGTCTAATACTGATCCACAGTTGGTACAAACAGCATCACCGCGGGCTGGATCATAATCTATATCGCTGCAGCCACAATGAGAACAAACAGCGTTAGACATCTTGAAGTTCTCAAATCAGAATCGTTGGACACACTCAGCCTCGAACTCTAAGTGAAGCCATTACTATTGTAAACAGGAAGTTGTCAAAACGAGGCTGAATTTCAATTATATGGAAGCACAAAAGAATTATAAATGTAACTTGACATATCAACTACATTAAAACCGCAGATGAGGTGGCGAGGAAGTAGAATTAGCTTTAATGTACCTGACTCACAGGATAAACTACTTAAATATTATTGTCAGTGAAAAATTAAAATTGTTTTTGTCATTGACATGAATTCAAAGCAACTCAATTTTTATTCATCACCAAGGCTAATTAAATTTATACAGAAAATATAAATTCAGTTTAAAAACGACAATCAGCTTTCATTTGTTTATTGATTCCCATTCATTACAAAAAATCGTATTGTTTTCAAGACAAAAAAGTAACAATCTTAAGGACTTTTTGAAATTTTAAAATAATTTAAACATTAATAAAAGAAGAGTATGACAGTAAGCTGGAAAAAAACCTAAGCAAGCCAATTTAAAATAATCAAAACTTCCCTAGTTTTGTTATGCCATCAAGATTTATTGTTGTAAATTAAATAAATGAAATCATGTCCAAATACAGTTGAGTAAACAGAAATTTGTCTTCAACCAGTTTTCAATCTTTCTCTTTTAGGATGAAATTTGTTTCCTACAACCAAAATATTTGTTCATTTTCTAATAATACACATATGGTAGTAAATAAACTGAAAAACTTTCAGATATTTGTATAAATGTATAAATACATTTTTTTTTGCTTAAACCAAAATAAGTCAAGTCAAATAAAACTGTGACTTAGATAATAGTAATATTGAAAAAGCAGTAAATTTGTCCAGTCCATGGGTATTTGAAATCTATACAAAAATATTTATAAAAATTTAAAACTGTATAGATCTTGCTTTAAAACATAAATAATGGAAGTAACTAAAAATATTTCTAGGAGAAAGATACTATTTTTATTTTTACAACCACAAAAGTAAAAAAAAAATCAACAGTTAGGTAATATTACAGTTCCTCATCATTGATTTGTTTTGTTTCTTACAATGAATTTACAAACAACAGTGATTTGTGTGAATGAGAAATATGAATGGAAAATTTGGATAGTTTTCATTTTTTTAAATTTTTGCTTTGTTTTTAAAATCAGTTGACATTTCTTCAGATACAAGAAATTTAATTAAGAAAAAGTTATGATAAATTTTCCTTAGGAATTAAATATTTTTTACTTGAAATTTCATTTTTTTAAAACTTGTATGCTTACATTTCAAATGAAATAGTGACGACTTTATTTTGTGTTTTATTATTAACCACCATATCCTCAAATTAATTAATTGCTTCTTTTCAGTAAACCAGTCGTCAGGTGTGTGTGAAGTTGAATCCTTTATTAAAAAAAAAAACTCCCGATGGAAGTTTTCATTAAAATAAAAAAACAAGGACCTATAGATAAATAATTTCCATTTCAAAACACAATATTCAAAATCAGCTTTACATTAAGTAAAATAAATAAATGATATTGTTTTTGAACCAATGAAAATCTTGATGAATGGTAATGTTGAGGTTTTAGCCAATTCCATACAAGGAAATATTTATTTGGCATTCATTACCTAAACAGCATTGTTGAAATTTATTTACACTTACACACACGACGATATGTTAACAACATATGCGCGTAAACTAAAGCATTAAGTTAAAATATTAAACTTATTTGATGATAACCTCTTTTAATATCGAGTGTATGGTTTTTATTTTATTATTTTGTAAGGGACATTTTACTGTTTCACCGAAAAAACTATTCTCATTCTATCAACACACCAATCATGCCTGTAGAGAAGACAAACTCCGATCTCCTGAAATACATTCGAGAAAGTCTTGATTCAAATACATTTTGTGGACCGTACGGGTTAAGAAAAGGTTTGAAAATTATTCTTTTCTTTGAAATTTATCATCTCAGCCTATTAAATTGGTCACCATATGAGTTTTAGTTTAAAAAAAAAAATAATTCTCTATAGACGCCAGATTAAAAAAAAATTGTGCGAGATACACAACAAATACGTACATATGTTCATAACTAAAAAAATATTTTTAACTAGTTTTGTTAATTTTTTTTTTTAAAAAAAAGGTGTGTTTGAATTAATTAAATTATAAATTTGGTTGTTTTAATTTTACCGGTCTTTATTATTTTAATATTTTGCAGAATTTTATTTTATGTTTTTCTCATCTCATAACTTAAAATTTTGCACTATTCCATAAATTGAAAAATAAGAACATAGAGTAAAAATTTCAAATTAAAATTCAGTTAAATTGCTAATTAGGAGTGTCAAGTGACTATGAGAGAGAGAGAGAAAGAGACGTGGAATTTATACTAAACAACGGATAATGCAACTAGCAAAACAAACGAGTTCACATTCAGTCTGAGATAACTTAAAATTAAAAAATCTCTTCGCACAATGATCCATTTCTCTTCGATATGCTCATAGAATACTCTCTGCTGCTGGCGCCACGTAAACATGTCACGTGTTTTCAGTTGTTATTTTGATGATGATGTCAATTTTTATTGAATAACTTAATTGAACTAACTTTTTTAAAGGTTCATTTTCTGTCTATATTTCTGAGATGAGGTATTAAACTACATTATTCGGATTATCGTCCTCATCTTTGTTGTCATATTTATCACAACGTTTCGGCCGTTGTACACTCCGAAAAGGAAAATGTGAGATAGGTAAGGCTTCAACAACACTGTAAAAAGCTGTAACACGAGGGGAAGTGGAAAAATCAGGCGTGGCTGACCACATATGGAGAGAAAAGGGAGATCACCGCCCTCTGTGGGATAAGCTTGAAATAATAGATAAAGAACATCATTGGAAAATTCGTAAACTTAAATGAGCACATATGCTAGGCCACAAAAATCTCCTGAGCCAACCAAGCATAGAAATGAATGGGAACCAGTAATAAGGAGTGCCAGAGAAAAGCGATAATAACAACAAAAATTGCAATATGAGCTCTGGTAAAAACATGATGGATAACATCAAAAATTGCAATATGAGCTCTGGTAAAAACATGATGGATAACATCAAAAATTGCAATATGAGCACTGGTAAAAAATAATTGCTGAAGACATTAGGTTTATATGTCCCAGAAATTCATACACAGATGTCCTCAAGAACACATGGCACAGTAGATAAATGCGTTAGTTAGATCCAGTGACAGGACCAAAAAACCTGGTTAACTGATAACTGACATCCATTAGACATGGCACATGGAACTACAACAGTCTACCCCAGCAAGTGAAAAAAGGGTTCAGTTTGACATTCCAATCACCTGAAGAAGGCCAGAGCGTACAATGGCTGAAACGTTGTGATAAATATGGCAACAAAGATGAGGACGATAGTCTGAACAATGTAAATAGTTTTCATTTTACTTAATCTTGCAACTGATATTTAATATTAAGGAGGAATGAAAAAGTGTAAAACCAAGTTTTTTTAAAATTTAAAACTACTACTATCTAATTTTCACTTGAAAATGCACCGATATGCAAGTGCAACTAACCATTTTCCCTTCACATACATCCGCTCATAGACATTCAGCAACATACAGATTTAATCCAATGTTATCTGGATTAAAACTATCGACTGAATCTCTGGAGATTGTCAAATCTGTCGGATCAATTTTTTGTTTTATTTTTTTTTTCATTTTGTAATGTTTAGTTTACAACAGAAATTGTATATTTACACTTGGTGTGTATATATTCAAAAACAAAATGTAAAAAAAAGTGCAATTCTAACAACTTTTGCCAAAGAACTGCCACTTTGCCTTTTGTGGAATAGACTCTCATGTGGGTGCTTTCTTAAATCTTGAACTCGCCAAGATTTAATCATTACCTATCCTCTTAATCTTCACTTCCTATTGGTTTTCTCTTCCATTCATTTTCACACACCTCATTCATCATTACCATTTCAACTGTAACACTCTAAGTGAAGTGTCTTTCGAACCTTGTATTGGATGATATTTAATAAAAACAATTACAATGCAACATAAGATAAAACTCCCTTTACCTTACTTAAGGAAAGTTTTTACTTGGTCTCCTAATTCTAATCATACATTTTTAAAGTTTATCATTTTTTAGGCATTAAAGATTTTTTTTATAAATATTTTAAAAAACTCTAACATTTGTGAATGCTGTTCAAACCATTTTTTCACATTTTTACTTCAAATTAAAACTTGCTTATTTTTTCTACACAACTACAATGTGAAATAAAAAACCTTGTAAGTTTTGTTTTTTTGCATCATTTACTAATACATCAGGTTGGAGAAAAAATTTTGAGGTGTTAAAATTAAAATATGAAAACTACAATAACACTGAAATCCAAATCAAAATATTTTCTATACCAAAATATTTATCGCCAGTCAAATTAAACTTAAATTACACAGATTTTAATAACAAAAAGACAAAACAAAACTAGCGAGAAAGGATGGCATCCAGTGAAAAGGATTCATTTTAAAGCAAGCCATTTGAACAATTTCATCCAAAATAGGTATAAATTATAGAAAGATAATCTCATTACCAATAAAACTTATAAAACAAAAATCAATAAATAGATAAATAAAATTTATTTTATGAGAAAACAAAACCAAAGATACAATTCTGGAAAAACTACACTGTTAAATCACTGGGTTAATGTAGGTACCTCCACGAGATCGCTAAAAAAGAGCATGATGAAAAAGATGCCAAACTTGATGAAAACAAAATTTTATCGTCTAAATGTTTGTTATTATTAAGAGGAAAGATCAAATTTATTTTAATTATTTTTAAAAATTTTTCCTCCTTTTTAGAACAATCTGAATTTTCATTTAAAAATTCTTATTTCTCTTTGTATCACTAGAACTAGTAAAATAACATATACAATTTTTAGCATGTTTTTTTTTTTTGTATGACACACATTAATTTGGAAAATCTTGCAAAAATAAAAATAATTGTCAGATGTTAATAAAACTTTCAGAAACTATTTACAGATGATCAAAATTATTATAAATATGTTTTCTTTTATTAAAGTCATGGTAGAAATATTTTTTTTATATATTTATACCCAATCCCATAACTAATTTTATGAAAAAAAAATTTAGAAATTTCGGTTTTAGTCCACTTTAGTAAAACAAGGTTTTTGAGTTAAAAACACAAGGCTTTGAGGAATGTAAATCATGTTTTTTTTGAATTTTGAATTAAAACAAAGATATTAAAATTGAAAATCTTTTATTTGTTTTAGTTGTTTTTATGAATATGGACAATATTTTCTGAAAAAAAAAAAATTTTTTCGATGAAAAATGAATTTTAATACAATTATTTGTTATTTTTTAATTATAATAGATTTTTTACATTTAAGTTGTTAAAATATTATAAAATTAGTTAAAAGCTGCATCCACTTTTCAAAGTGTCCTTATGAGATAGATCTTTTTTAGCGCATTGTAAATTGTATCATTTTGACTAATCAGAAGATCCGCAGTAATTAAGAAATGTAATTTTGAGTTTATAATCGGGCGGTAATTATAAAGTACGGAAGACCAACCAGAATACAATTAAATTGCATTATTTAAGTTAAGCATTGTTCTCCGCTGTTAAGGCCTTTACTTTTGCAAAACACATGTGGAGAAGTTTATTTGATTTTTCAATTTCAACTGAGAAGGGTACCTAAAAGTATCAGTATCATCTTATGAAATTTATATGAGCTTATTTTTATATTAATCTCAGTTATGGCATTTTTTCTATAAATGAAATATCAAAATTAATAATAAAATGAATGGAAATACAAATAACACAGTAAAATGTAGTAAATATACTTAAAATTATAGTATTTTATGTACACTTCTGATAAAATTTCGTAAGAAAGGTACCTATAAATTAATTAGATACCTTTCTTATGAAATTTAATCTAACTCTTAACAGTCTTATTTTTAATTTTTTTATAATATATTTTCCATAAAGCATGGTAAACATAAAGTTAAAAGCTAAGTACAAAAAACAAAAAAAAAAATTAGAGCGCTGAAAGTTTTCCTTAAAAATAACGAGGTAAATAATTTGTTCATTTAAATGTAAATAATTTCACTTTTCTCCTTCTGTAGAACAAATTATCCTCACAGAATCCGTCAATATGTCATTCATCACCTGTCAAGTGATGCAAAAATTTATGACCAGCTTTGTTTTATTTTCAAATTACATCTTTTTCAGAAGCTACTTGGTTTGGAAAAAAATATTTTAAATAAACATTATAATTTCTGATTTTCTTAAAATAAGTTTTGAAAAAATGATAATTGATATTTGAAAGAATTTCAAACTGAGATTTTCATTTTTTTTATAAAATGAAAAAAAAATGGCTGCCATTTGTCAATTTTGCTGATTCAAAAAAAACAAGATTTTTAATGAAAATTTTGGACATGCTATGAACGATTAAAAAATGTAAAAAAATACACCCAAAATACTTTGATCTTTCCTCTTAATAATAACATAAACATTTAGATGGTAAAATTTTGTTTTTGTCAAGTTTGGCGTCTTTTTCATCATGCTATGCTCTTTTTTTAGCGATCTTGTGGAGGTACCTAGGTTAATGCGATATATTAAGAGTCAGTTCCCTTGTAACTATTAACTACTAAAAGGGCAAAGAGAGGACACTGTGCTAACTAGTTTGTATTGGGAATACAACAAAACTAACTTATGCACACCTGCTAAGAGCTGAAGATGTACCTTGATGCACCCATTCAATCATAGATTGATGGTTAAGCACATTCTGATTGAATGTAAAAACTCGGTTTAAACATAGTAAATACAATGTCACAAATATAAAAACATTGTTTGAAGATGTTACTCTTAGCCAGATAATATGGTTTCTAAAAAAAATAGGAATTTTAAAATTTCTTTAAAAATTGTTTCTGTATGATTTAAACAATTCAAATTAATGGATTAAACAATATATTTAAAACAAACTGTAGTTACCAAACTGAGCCCCACAAATATATGTGTATATGTAATATGTTCGTAGTCACACTGTTAAACAAAATCTAAACAAACCAAACCCTTGTAACTATTTCAATAAAGCATAGTACCTGCAACTACTAGAAGTCAATGTTACTTCCACCTTAGGTTACTACAGATAAGCACACAATACATTTTGTCTCATTGTTCACTTTTACTCATAGTTGTTTTGAATAGAACAACATTATTATGATACATAACATAGTGTCAGAATAATTTAACCTGCCCATAAGCCACACAAGAAAGAAAAAAAACATATCAAATAATTTGACCTGGAAACAAAATAAATTAAAAATGTCACAACCACATCTGGACAAATATATAGTAGAAATAGACAACACATATGCCCATTAAGAGAGAAAGAAAAATCAGCACTCATATTTGATGAATTCAACTATGAGGAACCAACTGTGTCTTCACAATTGAGCAGACCCCTTCAATTATGTCACATTCAGAAGCTGGCAGAATTGTAATAAATTGTTGCATTATAAACAAACCCATCTGATACAAAACAGAAATTTAATAAATGTCAGAATAATGCCAATTCTAGGAGCATCAGGGTAGTCTACCCCTGTGATTGTTCATACATCATATCTTAATGACATATTTTTTATATGTCAATAATGAACATTATAATTCTCATATCTTGAGATGGAAGCTGAGATGTATTACTAAATACATAGTTAATTCCCTTGTAACTATTTATAGAGACCAATTACATTTCAATAAATATTAGCTATCAGTCAGTTCCACCACAGATTGCTATAGACAAGCACACAATACGTTTTGTCTCGTCATTCACTTTTACACACCGTTGTCTTGCATGGCACAACATTAACCTGATACATGACAGTGAACCAATAGATTCTCTTTTGAACTTTTTAAGCAATATTTTTTCTCAGCTAAAGTATTCAATTTATTCCACATACTGACAGATTATGTTATCTATCATTGTTATTTAAAAACTATGTAGAAATTATTCTAAGATTATCGCTTTTTTTCATATCTCAACTTATTTTAGCAAAAATTATCTTATCGTAATTAATATCACTTTCTTATACAATGTATTATTTCTACTTCAATAAAACTAAAAGAAAATATTTTTCCTGCAAGAAATTTGACATTTATATCATCAAATAACATTTTCAAATGCTTTGTTCATGGTTTTGTCCAGTATATTTTATGAAAAAATGTGTTAATTTTTGTCTGTTTCTAGCTGGCCTTACATTTTTCTGCTGCTAATTCCCAAAGCTGGATTTGAGTAGATGTACTTGTAAGGGTAGCTTCTGGTTGAAAGTGCAACTGAAACATTTGTCAAACATAATCATTGCTTCAGTGTTTGAAATTGAGCATTGAAATTGTTGAACTTCAACATAGACAATATCATTAATCACCCTCCATCATTTCAATGTTTTCCTTGTCTTAGATGAAATATTAGAATGGATTTAGTTTGGATAATTGAAAAATATTTGGATGATTTCAATTTTTCTCTTTATTTGATGCCTGGATAATTAAAGACCAGAAAATTGAGGACCTATTGTACTTCAAAATGCACTTCTCTTATTATCTAATACTAGTTGAACTCTTCTCTCTCCTGCATATATGATTCTGTGATTATTGATTATAAAATCCCCTTTCCTTTTCATCCTGTTTCCCATTCTCCCAGAATATTAATATTCAGCTTTTTGATTTCTTGTTCTAAATTTTCTAACTTTCTGTGTTAATGGTGTGTTTTAGTCTCCCATGTACCTATTGTGAGTAATCAAAATTACACCATCCTACCATAAAGGTGTTCAAAACAGAAAAACTTAATTAATTAAAAAATGATTATTGAAATAAAATGATTATTGAATAAAAATTTAACTAAGTAAACATAAAAGAACTTTTAATAAAGTTTTTTAAAAATTTACTTTTCTCTTTTTTATTTTCAGTGCTTTACTTGGATTATGTTGCATCTGGAAGGTTGGTTAAGATTTTCTTCATTCCATTTTTTCTCATGATTTTTGTACATTTTGGAAACTGATTTTTATGAAATTGGCTTAAAAAAAAGGCTTTATTTTTAATTTCTTACCAAAGTAATATATATTATTGCACACTATGCCAGAAACAATATGTAGGAAAATCTGAATGGCCCTTTCACTACAGAATTAATAATTCTGCCTAGAAAAACATGATTTTAATAGCCATCCAAAATTCACTATTACTGTAAAAATAGAAATAGATACAAAAGATAACCTTAGAAAAATACTAGAGGAACACAAAGACAAATGGATTTTGCACCTCAAAACACTTTGTCCAGACTTAATCACAGACTAAACAACACATAGAATTAATATATCATCTCATACCTACATTTCTCCACCATACTAGACAAACATGCTCGCAGAGATTTCCCACATACACACAATCACACAAATATATACAAATATGCATATCATACATACACACACACAAAACATACACTTAACACACACATTCCCTTCTCAGCAACCAATAAAGCTGTCACAATGACTAAGGAGGGAATTCTAAGACTCATGAATCTCCCAGGCTCTATTTAAAAAAAAACTTGAAAGGGGCTGTTTAACCAATACAAGGACTGACCAAAATTAACAAAAAAAAAACAAATGAAAACTACAGAGTTCACTTGCTTCAGAGACAGTCATTCACGCCTGTAGTTCACTGCAGCACAGTGGAGTAATAGATAGTGGCCCAGATTGAGGAATCGGAGAGCCGAGTTCGAATTCCTTTCAAATCCATTACATTCACTTACATGCTAATACATTTGGGGAAAGGTATGAATCCTCTTCTTTTCCCCCCAGCTATGGGTAAATAGCAGGACAGACTGGGTTCTATAGCCTTGGATGGCAACTGGTCTACCGCAGAAAGAAATGGCAACCTACTGCGGGGAAAAATCTGTCTTGTCAGTCATGTATCAAAAGATATATGATCGCCTAAGCGTGTATCACGCATGGCACATAACTGACTGAATTCACTGCAATTAACAAGCAGTGTTTTTTTTTTCTCCTGATTGACCAAAACTAGTCGAGGAACTTAATTTAAATAATAAAACAAAAACTATTAATATAAAACCCAGTGTGTCTCAAATTTTAATTTTTTAACATTTTTTTTATTGTTCAAGACATATCTATAAAACAGAAGATGTCTATGTGTGTGTGTGTGTGTGTGTGTGTGTGTGTGTGTGTGTATTATTTATGCACATCCACATTTGATGACACTGTAAAAATGCTAATAATTAGAAAAAAAGGCTTAAATTGAAAGTGAACACAAAGATGAAGAACATACAGAAAACAAGAAAAAATATATTATCTTGTTTTCTCATTTTGTGAGTATGAAGGAGATAGTAGATAGATTGAAGGATATACTGAAAACAAAAGAAAATATACTTTTATTTTGTTTCTCATTTTGTGAATAAGGACCTCATTAAAAAATACCACTGAAATCCACTTAGGCATCTGGTTAAAGTGAAGCCCAAGGGACAATGTGAGAGGAGTGCAATTTTGGACAGAGACCATCAAGCCAGTCACAGATAATAGTTTTATGGCTACAAGTAGGTGAAGAAAAAGGTAAAGAAATGATTCTATATCACTTGTTGATAGGGATGGAAGATATGTGTGTCGCTAAAGGAACAAGATTTTCTCAGGCCTGAATATTTCAGTCAAGTAGGAAAAAGAGGAATAGTTACAGACCAAATGTGATAATTAGGAATAAAAAATGCAGATAATAATTTTACAATGACATTAAAAGTAACATCTGTTTTGTGTCAGGAATCCATGGGTTGAGAGAAACACCTATCTCCTGGATGGTGGCAGCATGAGGAGCTGATATGAGGAAGTGGGAGGAAAATGAATATGCCCACAGAAAGTGGGGAAAATAAGATGGTGAATCAACTTGTTGCTATCATCACTCCTGCAGAAGCCCCCATCCCCCTATTTGGATATGCAAATTGCTTCCTAGGAGACTGTCAGCAGAGAGCTCTGATTGAATATTTGAAAAATCGTGGAACCCCAGATCATGTTGGACCCCACACTGATGTTGGGTGAGGGTACATAAAAGCTTTAGACCAGAGAGGAATAGGAGTGAGAATAGAGAAGACAGACAGAGAGAGCAGCAGTGAGGCAGAAACACACTTCCATTACACCAAGAAGAGGTGATTGCTTCACCGATCCCTATGTGGTTTGCTGCCACAGAGAACTCCTGACTCATGCCTTGTTCCAAACTTCTATATAAATTGAGCAGAGTGCCCTGATGAAATTGCATTGGAAGAATTGAAAGTTTTAATACATTGTAAAGAGACTAATGAATAAACAAGTGCTTTGTCAGAATTTTTGTAACACAGATGCCTAATAAGTCTCAAACATAGAAAGTTTGAAAAATTTGATTTAATAGAAATAAACAATTTGTCCATTTTTAGACTGAAAAGGAAATGGTCATTAACTTGCATATTTGTAGATTTTTATACAAAAAGTGTTCCTGTATAAACCTCGATTATTATAAATATTCTTGAATTTGCACAACTTAATTTTTTTATAACATTTTGAACAACAACAATCCAGTGATATCATGGTGTAATTGATATTCATACCTTGTTGATCAAAACAAACACAAATAAAAAAATTGACAAATTTGGAAAAGAACCAATTCATAAGTTGGAAAGAAAGATTCAATTACGGAAAAACTGGGACTGAACAGGATGGCATTTCATTTAGCACAGGGGTCAGGATGCCCCTTCAGCATTATATTGCTAAAATTTTGAAAACATGTTGAAAATTTATCAAGACAAGGTCAAGACCAAATTTATCAAATCCAGTACAACCCCCCCAGTTTCATCAAGGTGGATGATTTGCTTTTCATAGTTTTCTCTGACTTTGGCCTCACAGAAAAAAATGAAAAAAATCAAAAAAAAATGGGTTTTCATACTCCCTTTAAAATACAAACTTGAAAACTTACTATTTTTTCATCCAATGTTGGAAATTTGCCATGTAAATTATATATGATGGAAAATCATCTTTGAAAATGTTTGGTTTAGATTATTTCTAAAGTTAATTGGATGAAATCATGACAAACTAGGTCCAAAATTGGCTTTTGCCATTTAACCAAAAGAACACTTCATGAGTCCATCCTAAATTAGCATTCGAACAACCTTTAATGCAAAGATTATTTGAGAAGAATTATTAAAGAATTAAATGGAAAAATTCATAAAGAAACTATTTTAATCCCAGTTTTACAGTAAACAGATGAAGAAATAGCAGCATTCATGCATTTGAAAATCTTAAACTTTGATTGAAAGCTCTGACACTTCATCCTAAGCACATTTGCAAAATCTACATTATTAGATTGGTGAACAATGCCATCCTATTTGAAAAATATTACAGGTATGGGAAATTTCCCAGATTGAATACCAATAAAACATTGAAATAATTTAAAATTCAAATCAATGACCACACATTTAAGGTTTTATTGATAGAGTTCATATGCAAGAACATGGAAACAAAACACAACTAAAGGACAAATCATTAATTAAAAAGATATGGGTGGAGGTTGGCTAAATCTTAGTGAATAATGGATGATTCATGCAAAGTATTAAAGGAAGACATTGTATTCTTTTGCAGTTATACAATTGCAGGCATTTAAAATGGATAAATATATTTATTTCTATTAAATATATTTATATATATATATATATATATATATATATGCATAAAAGACAATAGGAAAACTAATAGTTGCTTATTCATTTTCGTCTACAATGAACTTTTTCAAGGCAAAAAACAAAATGAATTTATTAAATAAAGTAACTAATAATAACAAAACAAAATGTCCTTAGAAAGTAGAAGAATTTAGAGAACACTATTTACATACTGTTAACTGAAACTGTATAACAATGGATACTGTTTTATTGGAAATATTCATTCATTTTCTTTTTTGATTTCTTGATACTGTTATGTACATTTATTTGGGAGAATAGTAATTCTGTTAAGAAAGGTGAAATAGGGAAAAGGCCTGGATTTGTAGATTAATATTTGGGTAATATTCAATGGTGGCACTCTCGAGGATTTTCCTTCTGAGTGAGTTATTTTCTTTTTTTATGAGTGTAGCATTTTTAAAATCAAAATTGTGGTTGAATTTATTTCTATGTATTAGTGCATTAGCTAAGTTGTTTTTTTGTGAGGTCTCTTTTAATTTCATAAATCCATTTTTTTTAAATTTTACTTGTTTCTCCAATATATTGGGAGGAACAGTTTTGGCAATTTATTTTATAAATGCCTGCTTACAGAAAATATTATTGCTATTAGTGTTTGAGGATCTGAGTATATCCATAATGGTTTTGGAAGTTTTTGTGACTATTTTAAGATTATTTAGATTGGATAGGTTTTCTGGATATTGGACGTGACAGAGTTGGTCAGTAGTATTATGCATCTGTTAAGAATGTAATTTATTAAATTGTTGTTCATTTTGGTTTTGGTTGTATATTTACAATGCCTTTTTCTTGAGGAAGTTGTGGATGAAATGATAAGGGTATTGTAGGTTTTTGAATATATATATATATATATATATATATATATATATATATATATATATATATATCAAGCTGTTAGTCAATTTCTGCTACCAGCAAGCAGAAATATTTACATCGATGGCCATTTTAACTGAAACTAGTCAAGGAATCTAAATGAAATAATAATAAAAAAACGAAAGAATATTAATCTACAACCCAGTGTGTCTAATTTATTTTAATTTTTATATTTTTTTCATTGTTCAAAATTAAATATATATATATATATATATATATATATATATATATATATATATATAAATATATATATAATAAAAATATTTTGGAAATTGAATTATAATAAAATGAACAATTATATATTCTTTAATTTGAAAAATGAAAAATGTTAGATTTTTGAAAAAATCAATCTGTTAAAATTAAATCTTCT